AAAGAGACTGGCAGAAACTGAGACTATGCCCCTCTATCACCCTTCAGGTCTGGAAAGGAATGTACCTTCATGGCCCAGTTTTCAGCCCAGCTGTAGATAGTTATATGTTGTTATTATAAGTGCTCTAGAGTCAGTTTCGATTCATAATGATCCTGTATTGGGTTTCCATGGAGCTGCTGGTGAGTTTGAACCACCGTCCTTGCAGTTCAAACCAACCTTGAGGTCGAGTGCTTATCCCTTGGTGCCACACCAGGTGGGGACAACAACGCTAGTAAGGTATGCTCACCATGGAATTGTCAGTCATTCAAAATCAAAAAGGCACCATTTTCCTGAAGACAAAGTTGAGAAGGGATGGGAAGGTGGGTGGAATGGAAATAGGAACCACAGAGAGAAGCAGTATAACTGTTGTTACATGGAGGGAATTGTAATCATTTAGTGAAACAAAGTGTACGATTTGTTGAATGTAAAGCAGATGATCTTGTTTGCAAACTTTCATTCAATTCACAATAAAAAGTTAAAAACAAAAGGATTGATGCATTTGAGTTATGGTGTTGGAGAAGAATATTGAAAATAGCATGGACTGGCAGAAGAGCAAACAAATCTGTGCTGGATTTATACCTATACAGCCAGAATGCGCCTTTGAAGCCAGGATGAGACTTTGTCTCATACTTCAGATATACTATCAGGAGAGACCAGTCCCTGGAGAAGTATATTCTGCTTGGTAAAGTGGAGGGTCATTGAAAAAGAGGAAGACCCCCAGAGAGATGGATTGGCACAGTAGCAGTTGCAGTGGATTCAGGTGTAACAATTGTAAGGCTGGTGCAGGACCGGGCAGGGTTGCATTCTGTTGTGCATATGAATTGGCGCTGACTCCATGGCACCTAATAACAACAAATAGTATGTCATTGAGGTTTCAGTTTTCATTAAGTGCGTGGTTATTAACCAAAGCATTGGTAGTTCAGATCTACCCAGAGGTACCGTGGAATCAAGGCTTGGTGATCTACTTTCAAAAGGTCACAGTCATGAAAACCCTATGGAGCAGTTCTACTCTGAAGCACATGGGTTGCCCATGATTCAGAAGGTGTGTATTTTTTTTTTTTTTTCCCATGCTACTGAGGGTGTTTGATGACTAAAGATGGCTGATTTGCCATTTTTAATGTTTTATTGTGAATGATATAGTTTACATGGGAGAACATTAGCTTTACATTCATCCTATCATATATTGTTTCATTGCCATGGTTACATTCCCCTCCATGCATCATCAACCAACCAAAGGGTATACCCTGCAAGCCTGTCCCTCCCTTTCTTCCCCTCCCTCAGCACACAGCCCCTCTCCCTCTCTGGGTCTAGAGTCCCCAGCCACTCCATCTCTCCATATCATAGTCTGGCGTCTCCTTCTCTGGGTAGGATCTCACACTCCGCTCTTCTCCCTTAATGTTTTTTTTCTGTCTTTTTTGGTGATGTGTTTGTTCATATTTTTCTTCCACTTTTAATTGGGTGGGTCTTAATGTTGCATGCAATAGTTATTTATATAAAGACTGATTTTTACATTTTTTGACCAAAGTAGCCTATGTTTTGGAGTTTATTTTCAATTTATCATTTTTTCTATCTTTTTTGGTGATATGTTTGTTTATATTTTTCTTCCACTTTTAATTGGGTTGGTCTTAATATTGCATGTAATAGTTATTTATTTAAAGCCTCACTTTTACATTTTTTGACCAAAGTAGTCTATGTTTTGGAGTTTATTTTCAATTTTTAAGTGAGTCTAAGAAAAGGTTCTTAAGGAATTCACCTAGTACTTTACTGTTTTGTATGTGTAAGTCCTGGTGTGGTGCTGTAGGATAAGCACTGGACTGCTGACTGCAAGATTGGCAGTTCAAACCTACCAGTCACTCCTCGGAAAACCTTAGAGAGCGAGGGTCGCCATGAGTCAGAACCGACTTGATGGTAAAAAGAAGTAACCAAAGAATAGTGCTAGTAGAAATTGTAAGTATTTTCTGTGTTCTACTCTCTATGCCCAAAATGATGAACTCACTTCTCTAAATCCATTACAGTGAATGTAGTTTAATTTTTTTTTTTTTAACTTTGAAATGATTGTTGTTTGTTAGAGTTCAGCTACTGTGAAAACCCATCTATGGTTGTTTTTCATTTGTTTAATCATATCTATTCCAAGCAATACGTCTTGTCTTCCTTATATCCTGTGGGAACTGACCAATTGCCAAATAAACTTTTAGAGATACTGGAGACCCATTAAAAAGCCAAGTGAAGTAAATATTGGCTCATGGACTCATGAGATTCAAGTTTCACTTTCATTGTAAAGGAAGTGTGGCTTAGTTTACATTGTTATTGGTTCAAGCTCAGTAGCATTTTTGTGTATATGTGTGTACTCCTCTGGCCAAATAAAACACTTGATTAGAATTAGAAATGATGCTATTCATTGTGAGATTCTTGTTGTATGTTTAGTGTCATCTTCTCCTTTGATGGACTGTAGGAGATCGTAGATATCTCATTTCTTTAATTAAAAGATTATTTCTTTGTGGCCATTTCTTCTAAGGAACACAAACTGCTGTGGATTGAGGCTGTTCTTTTTCCATTCTTTGTTCCAGTAATTGTTTCATACAGTTTAAAATGGGTGAGGCAACCTACCCTGAACCTACTGGTTTTTTCAAAAAGGGAAAATAGTTCCAAAAAGAATGGAAGAGGAAGTTATGGTTCATAACCATTTTTGAAGGAGATATGTCTCATTGAACTGTAAGCTGCTGATTCTATAACATTTGGGTCTCGGTAAAGAGGAGCGCAGTGGCTCCATAGGATAAGCACTGGACTGGGTTTGAGCCCACCAGCTGCTCTTAGAGAGAAAGATGAGACACTCTGCTCACTCAAAATTGTAAAGTCTCAGAAACCCTATACAGAACCAGCTCACTTGACAGCAGTTGACAACAACATTGGTGACCTATGATTCCTGAGGGAGGCAGTTTTGTCTTTCATTCAAACTATTTTGCATTTTCTGGTTGTTGTTAAGTACCATGGAGTCAGTTCCGACTCATAGTAACCCTGCACAGGGTTTCCAAGGCTATAAATCTTTACGAGAGCAGAATCCCTCATCTTTCTTCCACAGACTCGCTGGTAGTTTCAAACTGCCAACCTTGAGGTTAGCAGCCCGATTCGTAACCACTACGCTACCAGAGCTGCATTTTCTGGAGGAGACTGTTATTAAGCTTGTTCAGGGCTGAAATTATCTGAGCAACCATATAAAATGCTACATGTAAGTGTGATTGATGTATGATCTTAAATAGTTTTTATCACTGAAAAATTAACCTCTCTTTTTGGCTTTCTTTGAGACATATTTAAAAGATGCAGGAAGAAGAGAGATTGTGTAATTCTGAGGAAAGAAATTAGGATTGTCTTAGTTTTTTTCAAATCTGCTTTAGCACGCTGAGATTCAGATTTTCAGACCTTGTTGTTTCTGTACTTTCCCTAGGCAGATAATACTTAACTCACAGAGATGTTTCTAAGGCCTGAAATAACTTGATTGGTTTCATAATAAACACAGTGAGTCTGTCTGCTTCTTTGCCAATCCTTCCGTCCTTTTACCTTCTAAATCATACACATTACATTGATCCATTCAATTCTTTAGATGCAATATGCAGAGAGTATTTTAAAAGTCCAGATGATGGGTATTACTGTGATCTGATTGTAGCATATGTGTGATGATGGGTTAAATTTTGCTGTTTTCTTATCTGTACTGTCATTTCTTTGCAAGAAAACAAGTAACTCACTAAATATTTCTTCAGAAAAATTTGTAATATTAAAAAAAAAATTGTAATATTAAACTCCAAAAGAAAAAAATGCTTTGTAGAAAAATTTTAAACACCTAAAACTTTAGTTTCATTTTCACTTTTTGACTCTTCAAAGCTTTTATAATGTTTTCAGAAATGTAAATGTTAGGTGAAACAAATAGAACTAGTTCTCTAAAAAACCTAAGTACTTGGTAGAGTAAAAACATTGTGTAGATTTATTGAATTTAGACATGCGCTTTCTTTCTCTAAAATAATTGATGGACCTGCTGACTGAGCCTAGAAATTAGAACAGGAAAACATTGTCCACTTAGTAATTGTGAGAGTGTATTTAGACACATGACTAGCCTGATAGAATTTAATAAAATACGGTTCCTAAATGCACCTAGGATTACTGGGGCCTGACTTACATGGGAAAGGAGTGGTAGGAGAGACCGATGAAGTCTTTCTAGTTCTGGGGAAGGATCCGACTGAGGATATCAGGGGCTGACTATGCTCCACTGACTTAATAAAATCTCTCTCTCTGTTCTCTTTTGAAAAGTTGAAAAGTTGTTTTGCCTTTGTGTTTCACCATTCCTCTGAAGACAAGAAGATACACCGTGAAACTTGACTCTTGCATTCTGTGAGGTATTTAGAGAGTATTATAATAAACACTTCTTTAAAACTTTGAACCCTAATTCAGATACCAAAGAAATGGTGATGTGCATGTAGCTTGATGTCTCTGTAGTCATGCCGTTGGTTTGCAGATTAGGTTATGTTGCTGTTGTCTCCTACCTTTATGGTTAGGCATTAGTAGATAGAGGCAATCTACACTGGCAGGTACAGTTTTGTAGTTTGGGTGTGTCTTTAGATAAAGTGCTTTGATGTTAACTTCATTGTTGTTGAGAATTTCTCTTACTCAAGGTCATGAGTAGGCTCCCACACTTCAAAGTAATTCTTGTGAGGGAGCTACAGGAGTGTTGTGGGAACAGTGAAGTGGCACAGAAATGCAGAAGCTGAACTCCCTGGTAATCAGACTAGTAATTGCTGATGTGAAATCTTTTTTTTTTAATGACTACTTTTAGTAAACTCATAGATCACAGATTTGGGTTCTTTAAATTTATATTCCCATGAATAATATGAATAGGAATGATAGCTTATTTGAGTTTCAGGAGTGCTTCATTTTCAGGCAATAAAATGCTATTTCTCATCTCTCTCTCTTAGAGTTCAGCAAAATGGATATACCAAATCCCCCAACTTCCAAATGTATCACTTATTGGAAAAGAAAAGTTAAATCGGAATATATGCGACTGCGACAACTGAAACGGCTCCAGGCCAATATGGGGGCAAAGGTAAAAATAATTCCTAAAGAAGATGTACATTTTAATATACACTATGTTAATCCAGTGGGCAGTGGTTGACTTTTTTTTTTTAAACTCTTGTTTTAACATCTTACGAGTCTTTTCTTGGCCTTGCCAGGCTTTGTATGTAGCAAATTTTGCAAAAGTTCAAGAAAAAACCCAGATCCTCAATGAAGAATGGAAGAAACTTCGTGTCCAACCTGTTCAGTTGATGAAGCCTGTGAGTGGGCATCCTTTCCTCAAAAAGGTACTTCTTGGGGGTCTCAGCTCAGCCTTGCTCTCTCTCTCTCTCTTTTTTTTTTTTTTTTCCTTTTCTGTTTTTGTAATTCATTAGAACATAAAAAGTATGGCTAATGGATATAGCCATTATAATTAATTTTTAATAGTATTTGTAATTTAAAAAATAACTTTTTCACTTTCTATTCTTATCTATTAGCATAATCATGAAGTTTGTCATAAAAAGCTAGACATTTGCTACCTACTCTTGGGGTCTGTGTCCAAGAGCCAAAACCACCTTTTTTTGTGCCTTTTTTGGCTTCCCAGTCTTTGATATTAAGAAAGGAATGCCTTGGATACTGGGCAAGAGTATCTTGATCAAAAGGACAGCCCTTATGGTAAATGTAAAAAGAACACTCTAGTTTCTTAAAGAGATAATATCAAAAGCAGGTAACGTTTTTGAGGGTAATTGTCTTCTGTAACTATAATGCCTGTACAATTTTGTTTTTCTCTGTACTATGCCCATCACCTGTGTGGTTGAGTTGATGTTCACTGTGCTAAAGCTTATAGCCTCAAGGAAATTTCCTCATCTCATTCTTATCTCCTAGAACTTTCTGAGGCCCTTTGCTGTTGTGTATACCCAAGGAGACCACCAGTTTTAAATTGTATTAACATCAGTTCAGTCACAGTGACAGACTGTGTTGGGCTCTGTTAGGATACCCAACCTATATCCAAACTGGTTGCCGCCAAGTTGATGCTGACTTATAGCAACCCCAGCGGACAGAGTAGAACTGTTCCATAAGGTTTCTAAGGCTATAATCTTTAAAATTTTTTTTCTGTTGAAACTTCAAAGATTTTTGTTATATCTAGGGTTTTGTTCCCCATGTTCAGATGTAGACAGGGTGGATATCTTCATGAATCTGTTACATAGACTTCTAGGTTAGGGCATAGTTCCTCAAAAAAAACACGAGAATTTCTGTCAAATCTCCATTACAACAGATGCTTATGGTTGGAAAGTTATGGGAAACAAGGTTTGTGGTTCTGTTAGGGTGGAATATCCATACATAACAGCTCATTTTATTTTATGGAACAGGTATTTTCAGGTGTACATCTTCATCTTTACACTACTTTTTTTTTTTTTTTAAGAAAATACTTTCATTAAGACACAAAAAAAGTGCACAAGGGGGATTCAAAAAGTCATGGGAGAAATTTTATTACCTTTTCATTCCATTTCTTCATGAAGTTTTTGAAGCCCCCTTGTACGCTAGATCCCTCCCCAAATACAGTTTACACCAGCTGTTCAGAGCTTTACTCCCTTACTCATTCCTTTAGCCTATGATTATCCCCAGTAATGAGGAAACAAATTCTGTGACTTCAAGTTTGTTTGAGACTAGGCCATATGCCACAAAAGCACTGAAGTCAGTTGCAATGTTGCTTTTCCTCCTTTTATGATTGCTCAGGCCAGTGTTTAGGTATGATAGGAGAGGGAACTGGAGAGTCAGTTGGACATATTCTTTATGTCAACAGACTGCCATGTCTTTCTCCCGTGGAGTGGCTGGTGGATTTGAACCACTGACCTTCCTGTTAGCGCCTGAGCTCTAAATCATGGTGCCACCAGGCCTCTTCTATGGCGGATACAAAGGTGAATAAGAGACAGTTCCTGCTTTCCACAGGTTTATAGACTCATACTTCCTTTTTGGAGCTAATTGTTACAAAACCCCAAATTTGTTAATTTGTAAGAATTAGAAGTCTGTTGGGATCCTTTTGGAAAGAAACTACAATTCTCTCTTGGGTTGCCCGCTTGCTATTCCTTGCTGTGTCATTGCTTGCATTTCAGTGTACCATAGAGAGCATTTTCCCAGGATTTGCAAGTCAACATATGTTAATGAGGTCGCTGAACACAGTTGCATTGGTTCCCATCATGTATTCGTGGTCCCCTCTACAGCAGAACTTTATGGTAAGTATTGATTCTCTTATTCTATATGATTCTCTTATGTCAGAATACATAACTAAGCTTGGGCACACAGGCCAGAACATTGTTGTAATTTATTTACTCTTAAAAATGTATATTGCACATTCTAATATGTTAGATTTGGTGTTCTGTGAAGTGTCCTTCTGAGTTGACTTGTTTTTTTTTTTATGTATATTTTGTGAATTATGTGATAGTTTACATGGGAGAGCATTAGTTTAACATTTATCCTATCTTATATCGTTTCATTGCCATAGTTACAATCCCTTCATGCATCATCAGGCAACCAAATGGGGTATTAATTACCCTATAAGCCTGCCCCTCTTCCTCTCTGGGTCTAAAGTCCCCAGCTGCTCCATCTCTCCATGTCATCGTCTCTGCCTCCATCTCTGACGTCACTGCTTCTCTGGGTAGGGTCCCACTCTCTGCTCTTCTCCCTTGATGGTCTCAGGGACCTCTGCTCCTAGACTGCAAAGTTAATCACTCCCCTCCTTGATACAGAATGTCGAGACTGGTCCTTTTTTGAATGACTTGAGATTGGGCAAAACTCTAATTTTCTCTAATGACCTTTCTTAAATTGCTGAAGATAAATTAAAAATGGTTGCAATAAAATTGCAAAATATTGACAGGGAATTGCCAGAGGTTCAAGCCAGATTCAGACAAGGAGGTGGAATGAGGGATATCATTGCTGACGTCAGATCGATGGATCTTGGCTAAAAGCAGAGAGTACCAGAAAGATGTTTACCTGTGCTTTATCAATTATGCAAAGTCTTTTGACTGTGTGGATCTTGACAAGCTATGGATAACATTGGGAAGAATGGGTATTCCAGAACACTTACCTGTGCTCTTGAGGAACCTGTACATAGACCAAGAGGCAGTTGTTCAGACAGAACAAGGGGATACTGAATGATTTAAAATCAGGAAAGGTGTGTGTCAGGGTGTATTCCTTCACCACATTTATTCAGTCTGTGTGATAAGCAAATAATCTGAGAAGCTGGATAATGTGAAGAACATGGCATTAAGATTCAAGGAAGACTCAGTAATAACCTCCGATATGCAGATGATACAACCTTGCTTGCTGAAATTGAAGAGGACTTAAAATACCTAGTAATGAAGATTAAAGACCACAGCCTTCAGTATGGGTTGTACTTCAAAGTACCGAAAGCAAAAATCCTCACCACCGGACCAATAAATAACATCGTGATAAATGGAGAAAAGATTGAAGCTGTCAAAGATTTTATTTTGATTGGATCCACTATCAACACTCATGGAAGCAGCAGTCAAGAAATCAAACAACATATCGATTTAGGCAAATCTGCTCCACAGATCTCTTTAAAATATTCAAAAGCAAAGATATTGGTTTAAGGACTAAAATGCACCTGACTCAAGCCATGGTATTTCAAATAGCTTCATAATCATGTGAAAGTTGGACAGTGAATAAGAAGACCATAGAAGAATTGATGCATTTGAATTGTGGTGTTGGAGAAGAACATTATAAGTACCCTGGACTGCCAGAACAACAAATAAATCTGTGTGGGAAGAAGTACAGCCAGGCCATGCTCCTTTAGAAGCCAGGATGGCCAGACTTCATCTCTACATTTCAGACATGTTATAAGGAGGGACCAGTCCCTGGAGAAGGACACAATGCTTGGTAAAGTGCAGGGTCAGTGAAAAAGAGGAAAGCCCCCAATGAGATGAACTGGCACAGTGCCAGCAGCAGTGAACTCAAGCGTAACGCTAATTGTTAGGCTGGTGTAGGATCAGGCTGTGTTTCCGTTATGCTTAGGGTTGCTATGAGTTGGAACCAACTTGATGGCACCTAACAACAACTTAAAGTTAAATGCAGTCTAAGTCAGACATTCGAGGCATAAGCAGGTTGGTATCTCCCAGCTGCTGAAGCAGTCTTTTCTGAGTCTCTAAAGGCAAAATGCTAGAAAAGCAACTGAGATAACGGAAGTTAACATGGATCACAATCCTTTTATCTGGACCTTTATACTAATTCCTACTAAGATTGTTTGTCCTTCTGATAATCCATGCTGTCTAAATACTACCATTGCTTATTACCTGCTTATTAAAATAGGATATAAGATTACCACAGGGAATTATTTCTTAGAATAAAATTTCAGAGTAGTAACTCTACTTGATACTTGGGGATTTGAGAATGATTGTGTTCCCTGATAAAACAAAAAGGGAGAAATCCTTTATTATTAATTTCTGGATACTATCTCTAGCTTATACTGCAGTTGACTTTAGGTTCCTATTGAAAGTGATTGGCATGAGTTATGATCATAATTTTTTATTATTGGACAGGAAGTTAATCTTAGTCTGTTTTTCCAATATCCAAAATTTTATAGTTGCCTAGTTTCTGTTCTAAATATTCTAGCTATTGAAAATCATATTCTTCCTTTTTATTTGTTTGTCTACTTATGAAAAGAATTGAAGACTTTTTAGACGGTTACTTAGGTGATGTTCATACCTTGTTCATGATGATGTTTAATAGAGTATGTTGTTGTTGTTATGTACCGTGGAGTCGGTTCCGACTCATATCGACCCTGCACAGGGTTTCCGAGGCTGTAAATCTTTACGGGAGCAGAACCCTCATCTTTCTCCCGCGGAACCACTGGTAGTTTCAAACTGCTGACCTTGCGGTTCACAGCCCGATTCGTAACCACTACGCTACCAGAGCTCCTTTAATAGAGTATAAGGTGACATAATAGATGGATGCACTATGGAAAATTAGGGTATTATCAGATTCTAGGTGTTGGTGGAAATGCTATTGTTAGTATCAAGTTAAACTTTTGGTTCTAGTTTCATCAAATAATTAAACTTTTCTTCCATCCCCTAAGAGGAGTATTTTCCCTTCCATTGGAGATTTTGTAGGCAAAACAAAATGACCAGTCTTTATAATGTAGAAAACTCTGTAACTAATAGCATTTTTAGGAGAATCAAGAAGCAAAAAGGGCAAAGAATCTAAGTGGGGAAGAGTATATGCATAGTGACTTCATGAAGTGAATGAACCACATCTGATTTGATTTCAGGTAGAAGATGAGACAGTTTTGTGCAATATTCCCTACATGGGAGATGAGGTGAAAGAAGAAGATGAAACTTTTATTGAAGAGTTGATCAATAATTATGATGGAAAAGTCCACGGTGAAGAAGGTATTGGTACTGTGTCCTTTAATAGACAACTTTGTTAGAGCATACCCACTCCTCACTTAACCACATCATTAGGTTCCAGAGATCAGGTCATTATGCAAAATTCAGTGTTACATAAAAATAGAAGATGACCACATCAGATCAGAAAAAATGGAAAATGCCTACATCATTTCATAACTGACAAACCACTTAGAATCATGGCCCTGCCACATTGACACACAACCTTAATCATCACAGTCAGTGCTTTTCTTGCCTTGCACTTCAGTGTTTACTAGCAGCTGTATGTTATCAATGTACAAAATAGTAAATTTTACTATGGTCATATGTGAAATATTGAATAATAAGATAGCCGATGAGTGAGAAGTGAATGTAGTGTCTCATTTTGCTTTTATCTGCTGCTCCTTGGGATGCACATACTAATATTTTAATGTCATCTTGTAACTGATAGGTAAATTATTATATTAAAAACATTCCAGTTGAATTTTAAAAGGAGTTGAGACCAAAGGATGATACGGTAATCAATGAGTAAAATTTGATCTTAGGAATTTTCCATAAGACATTCAAGGCTATTTTTTTCTTACTCCTCTTTTTCTGAGAATGGCAATGAACATAACCTCTTTCATACTTTTGTGATCCGGCATCCTCTGGATCTCCCAGAAGGTGAGTTCAGGATCTGAATAGAAGCTCATCAGTTGGATTTAGTTGTAGTTCTAGAAAAGGCTTTCCGTGTGCCAGAAAAAGGCAGGTGAGAAGAGATGCTTAGGATTTGCAAACCAACAACCTCTTCTGTTCTGACAATTGTGAAAGTTCGCTCTTGGGGTGCTGTTGAGATGTTGATCCATAGCTCCCCCTGGTGTTCAAAGACTCTCCTAAATGGCAATACATGTAACCCTATGTTAAGTGCAGTCGAGTTAGTTCCGACTTATAGTTAGCCCTGTATACCAAGGAGCGGCTGGTGGATTTGAACCGCTGACCTTATGGTTCAAGCTGACATTGCAGTCGAATGCTTATCCTACAGCGCCACACCAGGACTGCATGTAACCCTATTGTTGTTAAGTGCTGTCTAGTTGGTTCTGACTCATAGCAACCCTGTATAGGGTTTCTGAGGAGCGGCCGGTGGATTTGAATCACCAACCATGTAGTTCAAACCAACATTGGAGTCAAATGTTTATCCTACAGTGCCACACCAGGACACCATATAACCCTATTGTTGTTAAGTGCCGTCAAGTTGGTTCCAACTCCTAGTGATCCTATCTAGGGTTTCCAAGGAGCTGGTGAATTTGAACCGCCAACCTTGGTTTCAAACCAACCTTGTGCTCCAGTGCATTATCCCACAGTGCTGTATCAGGACTCTGTGTACCCTATATTCAATGGTTTTTGGGAAAAGTGCTATCTTTTGACTCAGAGAAGTCACTACTGACCCATCAGCAGCAAGTCTGAGTAAATTTGCATTTTATCATCCTATCTCAGTCCTACTCACAATTATTTGCACACTTTTGTAAGGTTACTGACCATAAATACAGACTTTGTCTGTGGAAGTGAGTTACCTTAGTAAGAATATAATCTATAACTAGATTTTATTAGAGCCACTGTAGTCGACTGAGTCCTGGTGTGGTGCTGTGGGTTATGCACTCAAGGTCAGCGGTTCAAGCTCACCAGCCGTTACTTGGAAACCCTATACAGGGTTGCTATGAGTTGGAACCAACTCGATGGCACTTAACAACAACAACAACAATAGTCAACTGAACTGTTGCAGTTTGTAAGCGCCAATCAAATTATTGTAATTTTTGATTGTCTATGTAAAAAATTACATGTTACCGATCTAGACATTGGAGATGAATATAAGAAAGCCTTCCTAGGAGGACCGGTGGAGTATGGAAGGACCACTGCGCTCACCCATCTAATCCTTCTGTTTCAGAAATGATCCCTGGATCTGTCCTGATTAGCGATGCTGTTTTCCTGGAGCTGGTGGATGCCTTGAATCAATACTCAGATGAGGAAGAAGAAGGACACAATGACACCTCAGATGGAAAGCAGGATGACAGCAAAGAAGACCTGCCAGTGACAAGAAAGAGAAAACGGCATACTATTGAAGGTAAACAGCATTACTTCCTTATGTCACTTGGAAAGTTATGGAAGAAGGAAAAGCTTATTAAAGAGTTTGTTGCTTATTAAAGGATGTGAGTGCTTCTCCTTGACCCAATTAAAAGGAAAACATGATCATAGATAGCTTAAGACAGATGTAACCTAGTTGAAGAAAAAAGTAGAAGAACTTAAAAAAATAATTGTTCGTTTCTAATTATAGAAGTAATATGTTTAGAAAATATGAGAAATTACAAAGAAAAAAATAAAGTTACCCTTTAATTCTCCTAATATTTTGACATGCTTCCTTCTAGACTCAAAATATGTATATATATAAATCAACATGTTTTTCTATATTATGTGAAATTGAGATGTTAGTGTACAATTTTGTGTTCCCTTTTATTTAACCTTAGATCATGAGCATTTTCTATGTATTAACACTGTGGATTTAACTCATTTAACTTATATATTAACTCATCTTTTCTAGGGAAATAGCTCTCTCTCTTATTATAACACAGTTATAATCTCAGTTTTGTTCTCCAGTATCAATATCAGACCTCTCCTGTCTACCTCGAGAGTCTAATGTGGGCTCTGGATTTTATTGCTAATATGTAGATGACTCTTTTTTCTTGGAGCCCTAGGTGACACGTGTGCAGGCAGTACTGGCCTTTTTATATTCCTATACAGTCCGTGGTTAGGTTGGTGTTAGCAGCTCTAATCAGAAGGCTGTGACAAAAGGGACAGAGGGAAAACAGCCTTGTTGGCTCTGATAACAGCACTCAGGAGCTTTCTGTCGTCTTCAATTCAGGCAACAAGAAGAGTTCTAAGAAACAGTTCCCAAATGACATGATCTTTAGTGCAATTGCCTCCATGTTCCCTGAGAATGGTGTTCCAGATGACATGAAGGAGAGGTAAGCAAAACTGTCCCACTCAGGCCATATACAGAATACTTGGATAAAGCTTTTATTAAAAGTTATTTTTTTGTTAATAAGAAACCTCATTTATGGTAAATTCATTATGATTTGCTTATTCTGATTATTTTGTATGTATTTTGCTTACCCCTAAAAGACCTTTCCTACATATGGGTCATTGCTTGCCATAAGTCTGGGCAGAGAGTTTTTATTCTGCAATTTTTCTGGAGAATTACTCTAGCTTCCCTTGCTTCTCTCAGGCGTGCACCCAGCGTGTTTATTAGGGTGCACTTGTTTAGTTTTACATAAGTCCTTCATCAGCTGGGCCCACAAGAATCACCCACAATATCTTGTCATACTGTACCTGGGTGACCCTCAGTACTCAGTCTGGATTTTCTCAGTGGAGACATTCCCTCAGGATTTCTTATCTCTCTTTTCTTCAATAGGTATCGAGAGCTAACGGAGATGTCAGACCCCAATGCACTTCCCCCTCAGTGCACACCCAACATTGATGGCCCCAATGCCAAGTCTGTGCAGCGGGAGCAATCTCTGCACTCCTTCCACACCCTTTTTTGCCGGCGCTGCTTTAAATACGACTGCTTCCTTCACCGTGAGTGGGGCTCTGCTGTTTGAAATGTTCACCTCTTTTCCAACCCAATCACCATTTCCTCCTCTTGGTTCTAGTTTTATTATGTAGACTTCTCAGCTCCTAGTCAGATGATGGCTTTACAGATTCTAGATCTATTTTCACTTGTCCAGTTGTAATTGCCCCTCACTACCTCTTTGTTTTGGAAGAAATGTGTTGATATTAGAAGTGGTTAAATGATGTGTGTCCTGATGGTAGCTAATTCTATCAGATTCTAACTCCTGCAATAGCTCCCTAATCCAACTTTGTTCCTCCCCATTCCATGAAGTGGATGGACCATGGGAAACAAGACAGTTTGTGTTTTCCAGCTTTTCATGCCACCCCTAATGTATACAAACGCAAGAACAAAGAAATCAAGATTGAACCAGAACCATGTGGGACAGACTGCTTCCTTTTACTGGTACGTTCTTAAGCTATTTTAGTATTGTTAACTCTGTTGAAATTGTGCAGGAAATGGTCCTTGGGCTTTCTGCCCCTGGGAAAACAAGCTATGTGAGTGAGTACGTAGTACTCTGAGGATCATAAAATACAAACAAAACATGGCTTCTGCTCTTAAGGAGCTCCTTCAAACACTGGGGTAGTGGAACCGATGGAATGAAAGTGAAGGAGCGCTAAAGACTTTCTGCTCTAAATATCATCTCTTCAGGTTATGTTGTTGTTGTTGTTACGTGCCATCGAGTCGGTTCTGATCCATAGCAACCCAGTATAGGGTTTCTGAGGAGCAGCTGGTGAATTTGAACTACAAACAGTGTAGTTCAAACCTACCTGCAACAACACCACACCAGGACTTCAGATTTTAGAGACTGAAATATTGTTAGAATTGGAGCCGATTGTGTATGTTATCTGCACTCCATTTTCTTTGCTGTCTTCCATTGTCTGTACACAACCAAAGGAGAAGAGCATATGAAGACACTGATGTCTTACTGTGAGGTAGTCAGTCAGATACACCCTTTCCTGATGAACAGATCTTATGAGGCAGTATACATTCTTCTGGGTACCTGGGAGGTAGAGGAGGCAGTTCTCTGAAAGCTGGAAGGGAATGGATCAGTTAGATTTGTCAAAGATACAGTTTTGCTTTCAATTAAGCTTAGGTAAAGAATTAAAATGCCTTGATAAAATATATACAACCAAGTAAAATTAGATTATAAAGCCAATTACCTTTGTAATTCTCTTTTATGGGACAATAGAAGGAAAGATTGTCAGGAGTGCTATTGGACATGTATCTGGAGAATAGACCATATGAGTAAAAGAATCGATTTTATCTGATGTACTCTTTCCCCAACTTTATGGATTCCTTCTTATGTACCAAGTATTGTGGTGGTGTTGTTAAGTACCGTCAAGTCGATTCTGACACATTGCATCCCTGTATAGGGTTTCTAAGGAGCGGCTGATGAGTTTGAACTGCCGACCTTGCAGTTCAAATCACCCTTACTGTCCAGTGCTTATCCTATAACGTCACACCAGGACTCCAGCATTGTGTTAGGCCCTTAAAATATGCTATCTTATTTCCATCCTTATTAACAGTGTCCCACAGTAGAGAACTATGGGTTATGGAATTTATATACCTTATACCACTGGTAAGTCAGTGGTAAGGCACAGATGGAGTTCCGCCTCTAGTTTAAATCGATAGTTGATGCTGTTTTTATTCCCTCATGCTTTTTTTGTTTTTAATTACATTATGTTATGTCAACATACCAGCATTCATAAGGGGCTTCAAAAAGTTTGTGGAAAACTGAAATGAAAAGCTCATCCTTTTCCATGAATTTTTTAAAACCTCTTGTATATAACTCAAAAGAGCATTGTTCTCATAGTATTCACACTGTGCTGCTATATGTAATACTACCACCAATGCCCAGAATATTTTGTTGCTTTATTTTAAACAAATATGTAAATACAGGTTTTTTTGGGGTTTTCTTTTTTATTACTCTCTAGACATGAGCACATAATTGAAATATAATGCTGGACTATTTTTTCCTAACTTTTTAAGAGCCTAAGTGTTCAACAAAAATATAAATGTTTGAATCATGCAGAGGAGTTGGAAGATAATTTCTTATTGATTTAATTTTTTTTCTTAAGCACTTTATCCGTATATTTGTGTTTGTGTATCTTTTGCTAGACTCCTGGTATGGCACTGTAAGATCAGCACTGAACTGCAAACCACAAGGTCAGCAGTTCAAACCCACCAGCTGCTCCTCAGGGTCACTATGAGTTGGAATTGACTCAATGGAACTTAACAACAGCCTTTTGCTGAGCCATTTGAAAATAAGTTGTGGACATTGTGCTTGATTGCTAAGTATTTTGGCATGCATTTCTTAAAAATAAAGATACTCTCTTACATATCCTAATTATTAAACCTGAGAAAATCAACAAGAATTTCATAATATCATCTAGTATATATTATAGAAAGAGCCCCGATAGTGTAATGGATTATAAGTTGGGCTGCTGTCTGCAGGGTCAGTAAGTTTGAATCTACCAGCTGATCTGAGGGAGACAGACAGATGAGGCTTCCGGTGCCCATGAAGATTTATAGTCTTGGAACCCCTATATAGGGTTGCTATGAGTTGGAACCAACTCACCACCATCACCACCATATTTTCTATGGAATCCTGATGTGGGACTGTAGGATAAGCACTAGATTGCTAACCACAAGGTCCGGGGTTCAAACTCACCAGCCGCTCCTCAGAAACCCTATAACATGTCTCTAAGAGTCAGAACTGATTCAGTGGCACTTATCACCACCAACAACATATATTCTATAAACAACAGCATGATAAACAGATAAAATACTGAAGTTGTCAAAAATTTCATTTTATTTAGATCCACAATCAACATCCATGGAAGCATCATCAAGAAACCAAGAGGTGTATTGTGTTTGGCAAATCTGCTGCAAAAGACCTCTATAAAGTGTTAAAAAGCAAAGATGTCACTTTGAAGACTAAGTTACAAGTAACTCAAGCCATGGTTTTGTTTTTTTTAAACTTTTTTGTTGTGAATTGAGTAAAGGTTTACAAAGCAGTTGTGCATTCATGAAACCATACACTTTGTTTCATTTCCATGATTGCAGTCCTCTGAATGTAACATCACTTACCCTGTTTTCTCCCTATGTTTCTTGATTCCGTTCCTCCTTCCCCACCCTTCTGAATTTTGTCTTTAGGAGATTGCTGATCTACTGATTTCTAATGGTTGACCATTTGACAGTGTGCATACCTCACTAGTGTCAACCTATGTATCTCTCTACTGCTTGACTGCTTGACTGAGCCACAGGGATGAGTTCAGTTCCAGACCTAAAGGGTGATCAAAGGCCATACTCTTGAGGTTCCGCCAATCTCTTTCTGACCAATATGCCTGATCTTTTTTATGATTTTGACTTTTGTTCCACATTTTCTCCCACTCTATCCAGGACCTTCTTAAAATGATCCTTTTCAGAGCAGTTGATACCCAGGTACCAGCAGTTATGGCATTCTCAATGACCTCGTATACTTACAAAAGCTGGCAGTGACTAAAAAAGGCTTTGAATTATGGTGTCAGCAAAGAATTTTGACTGTCTCTTATCCTGCCTGTAACTGGCTGTGATCAGTTAGTTGTATACCCCACTGCATTCGGAGTCCTGGTGTGGCGCTGTGGGCTAATGCTTCAGACGCAAAGTCATTTGAACTGCAAGGTCAGGGTTCAAACTTACCAGCTGTTCCTAGGAAACCCTGCACAGGGTCACTATGGGTCGAAATCGGCTTAAAGGTACTTAACAACAACAATTTATCCTGCCAGAAGAATGAACAAATCTGTCTTGGAGGAAGTATAGCTAGAATGCTCCTTAAAAGCAAGGATGGAAGGATTTCATCTCATGTATTTTGGCCATGTTGTCAGGAGGGACCAGTTGCTGGAGAAAGTAGGGTCAGCAAAAAAGAGGAAGAACCTCAACAAGATGGTTGCAACAGTGGACTCAAACATAGGAGCAATTGTTTGTGCAGGGTTTTGTTCTGTTGGTCGTTGGACATAGAGACGCTGGGAATCAGCACTGACTTGACACCACCACCACCACCAGCATGCGTTCTATATTCAAGGTTTTTGAGTTGTCCTAAGAATAGCTGCTTTTTCAAAGCCGTATCATCTAGACAGTAATCATATTTAGTTAGTATTCTTTCTCATTTTCATAAATCTCAGATAATCCTATTTACCCACCTTTTTTTTTTCTTTGCAAAAAGTCTTGACTGGTTGTTTTGTAAGATGTTTCATCTTCTGGATTTGTATGTTGTTAGCTCATGACATCATTTAATTTGTTTCCCAGCCCCCTGTTTCCCATAAGCTAGAGATGAGCTCTGGAGGCTTAGTTATATTTATGTCAAACATTTCAGGTAAGGACATTTTATAAGTGATGTTGTATACTTTATATTGTAATACTACAAGTGCATACCCCAGACTCAATTAGTTTTGAAACAACTTCTTTAAAATTTTCTTTAGAGTATGCAGTGCATTAGTGTTCTGAATACTCTTTATTGATGGTGGTAAACCTTTATCCTTTACAAGTGGGCTTAGTTTTCAAATACAGCTAGAAGTCACTAAAAACCAAGTTTGGTGAGAAGAGAGACACTAAATTGAATGATTCAGTTATTATATAAAGAAAAAACAGGGGACATCACTATAAAACAGTATTCAGTATTCTTCTGAGTTTCATTTACTGACAGATTGTTTACGTAGTGGACTGAGAACCACAAGGTCTGCAGTTCAAGCCTGCCAGCTACTCTGTAGAGAAAGATGAGGCTTTCTGCCCCTGAGAAGATTTAAAAGTCTCAGAAACCCCTTACAGGATCTCTGAGTCATAACTGACTCCACGGCACTTAACAACAACAACAGCATTGTACAAATTCAGAGAATAGGCATTTTATTACTGAACTAGAGGCAGTGTTGTAGAGTATGAAGAGCAGTTGCCTAGGGACCAGGAACCTTGATTCAGATCCCCACTCTGGAACAATTAGCTATATATACCTTTGAACAAGTCTCTTCCCCTCTCTGGACCTCATTTCCTTATAAATAAGAAATGTGTTGTTAAATTCCAAATAGCTAACATACAAGTGAATACAAGTAACTCAGAAGTTGAAGATGCAAAGATGTAGAACGGGAGTATACCCACAATTATATAAAGGCCTAACACAGGATATTTCCACGTGGCCATTTACTTTTGCTGCAAACATATTCATGGATGTGGTGGAGCAAGGTGCTATTGAGTTGGTTCCGATTCAGCAACCCTGCTTAGGGTTTCCAAGGCTGTAAACCTTAATGGGAGCAAAAGCCTCCTCTTTCTCCAGTACAGTAGCATCCAGGGGTCAAAATTATGAAAACTTCCTAGACATTATCAAATACTTTGAGGGAATGAGTTGCTAGGCCTGTGGGCCCAGGACCATAGTCTTGGGGGACACCATGGTCAGTTGGCATAACATAGTCTACAAACACAATGTTCTACATCCTGCTTTGGTGAGTAGCAACTGGGGTCATAAAAGCTCATGAGCAGTTATCTAAGGTGCAAAGATTGGTGTCTCCTTGTGTGGAAGAAAGACGAGTGATGAAAATTTAAGACACTTGGAAACAGTCTGATGGACATTGGTCTCTATGACCCTGGGAGCAGAAGAACTAGATGGTGTCCAGCTACCACCACCAACTGCTCTTTAAAGGATCACATTAGAAGGTCCTGGGTAGAGTGGGAGGAAATATGGAGCAAGACTCAAAATGAGAAAAAAGACCAGATTTCCTGGTCAGAAAGAAACTGGAGGAACCTTGAGACTGGCCTTTGGTCACCCTTGTGGCTCACTATCCAACCCATCAATAGGTAGGTATATGGGGGGACAACAACACTAGTGATGTACACACCATAGACTGGTCAACCATTTGAGATTCAACGGGCAGCACTTACCTAAGGACAGCATTTAGAAGAGTGGGGAAAGAAGGAGGAATGGAAGCAAGAAGCAAAGGGAGAAAAGTGTGAGCCATGATGTTACATTGGGGAGACTACAGTCATTGAGATAAAACAAAGTATATGATTTGAATGTAAAACTGATGATCTGCTTTATAAACCTTCACTCAATTCACAATAAAAGTTTAAAATATATACTTAAATGCATAGACTATATCTTTTTTTAAAAGATTATGAGAACTCTTAGTGAAGAGATGCAAATTTATAAGTTTTAGCTTCTTTAGAAAGGTTTTCCAGAGGTTTTTTATTCTATGGTTACAACTACCATGTACAGACTGGGCGGAAAAACATTGTCGTACATAACATGCACGTTGTGGAAGATGGTGTGATGATAGATCAATATACTGACACAGAGTTTGTTCCTGTTTCCTGTTTGTACTGTGTCCATTGCAGGAAGGAGCAAAGGAGTATGCCATGCTCCACAACCCTCGCTCCAAGTGCTCTGGTCGTCGTCGGCGACGGCACCACATAGTCAGTGCTTCCTGCTCTAACACGTCAGCTTCTGCTGTGGCTGAGACTAAAGAAGGTGATAGTGACAGGGACACAGGCAATGACTGGGCCTCCAGTTCTTCAGGTACAGTGAACAGAAAACAAAGATTCTTTCCTTTCTATGTAAGGACTCTAGTAGTCCCAGGCACACTGTCTAACACTTAACATGACCACCTTTTTAAAACTGATTGTTTTTCTACAGGTTTGCTTGCAGGTAGTGGAGAGAGGGAATCATTTTGTTCCTAACCATTCCACCTTTTAAAAGTCGAATAAAGGGACTTTCAGTAAGATGGTGGACTAGGCAGATGCACTACACAGACTCTCTCCAACAAAGATACAAGAGACCAAATGAAACAGACACACATGAAAATTCTGGAATTCTGAACTTTGGAGGAAAGTTTAGAAAAGTGGACTGAGTGCTTGCTGGGAGGTGAAGCTGAGCAGGGAAGGTGAGAGAGGGAGACAGGTTGGTGAACAGCCTGCCAGATACAACATGACCAAATTGTGAGCAGCTTTGGCAACAGATGGTAGCCTGACAGAGCAGATTTACACAAGGGACGGGGAAAGGTGCAATTCCTTCTTTCTCTCCATGCTCCCCTGGTGACCGGAGGTGTGGCCAGCCCTCACCCTCATCCATCCCCTAGTACAGACAGACCCTGCTCTCCGGAGAGTTCAGAGCCACATGGTCAGGAGCCATGCCAGTGTGAGGCAGGGCCCAGTTGTGCTGCTTTGGTGTCTGGATTCAGGTGGGCTAGGCCCTAGACCTACAGAACCCACAGAGCCACCAGACCAACATTTAACCAATCACCCTGCCAACAGCTGCCCTGTGGTCCTAACAGATAGTGAAACCAGCTCCATCAAGTGCCTCTAGGAACTACTTCCGGATTGAGTGCCCTGTGCAGATAGCCCCAAGGCCAATAGGAACTCCATCTCTGGCCAGGAACTCTTCTGTCACATTCCTCCCACACTCACCTTGTGAGCTCCTTGGCTTGTAGGAGCCCACCAGAGTTTTCTCCTCTCCAGGTCCAACAGCTACATGGCTTTTTTGTTTTGGGGTTTGGTTTTTTCCTTTTGTTGTTTCATTGTTTTTGGTTGTTTATTCTTTCTTCTCTTCCCATTTCCTTGAATTTTATCCTTTCTGTCTCCACTGTTGTTTTCCTTCTGTTTCGCATTTACCTTCTTTTTTTTTCCTTTTGATCTTTCTTTAGTGCTCTGTACTCACTCTTTATCTTCCCTTTCCTGGTTTTTCTAAGTGTTTTTTTCGTTTTATTTCCTTTCTTATTTTTTTCTTCTGTAACTATTTTCCTGTACCTCTTTTCTCTTTTTTCATTATTGTTTATTTTTAATGTTTTCCTTTTATTTTTTTCTCCTCTATAGGATCATTTTCCTGTCTCTCTTTTGTCTTTGTAGTTATTAGATTCTTTTTTTTCTGGTTGCTGCCTATTTTTCTTTCTTTCTTCTCTTTATTATTTTCTCTTTTCATTGTTGGTTTCTTGTTTGTTTATTCTCTTTTGTCTTCTTGTATATGTATATGTGTATGTGGGAGGGTTTTTCTCTTTCCCATCTAACAGGAGACAGCAACCTTGCCCATACAGCCCAGCCACAACCATACCATCTGCAGCTCCACCCACTGGGCAAGAGCCAGTACCAGCTCCTATATCACCTGATCAATGATAGACAGTAGCCCACACCAGCCAAACTCAGCCTGGTGTACACTGACAATGAACAAGGATGGTATGCACACTTCTGTTCTCTAACTACACCCACAAGAGAAAGTTGGTGACAGCCTGAGAACACACCAACATATAATCATCTATTAAATACAAATACAACAACTCCAGAATGCCCTGGAGACAGTAGACTATTTTAGCTCACATATAGAAATGAGAGAGAATGATCAGGATGCAGAGCCAGAAAACATTCTGAGGAAGAAAAGGTAATGGAACTAACTAAAAAACAATTAAAACGAATGATATTTAGATACCTTCAAAGGATTGATAGAAAGATCAAGTAAAGCAAGGAGAATACAGAAAAAAAAAATACTGTAGAAGAATTCAGGAAAATACTACAGGAACAGACAAATGCATATTTTGAAACAGTACAATAACCTGCAGTTAGGTATCCAGAAGAATAATATTAAGATCTCAGAAATGTGCAATTCATTGAAAGAGTAAAGGAGTAGATTCGAAATAATGGAAGCCTGAATTAGTGATCTCAGAGCTAAATCTCTCAATAATAGTATGATAGAAGAACAATCAGAAAAAAAGCATGAAGAAATCCTAAGAGTTATGTTGGACACCATAAAGTTGAACAACCTATGGGTGAGCAGAATTCCAGAACAGGAAGAGACAACAAAAGCACAGAGAAAACTGTTGAAGAGTTGTTGGAAGAAAACTCCCCTAACATGAAAGATAAGAAGATAAGCATTCAGGAAGCTGAATGAACCCCAAAAGAAATATATACCCCAAAAGAAAATAGATATATAAAATAAGCTATATCCCCAAAGAAAATCACGACATATAATCAACTCTATAAAACCAAAGACAAGGAAAGAATCCTGAGAGCAGCTCAGGGAAAATGATGTTACCTACAAAGGAAAACCAAGTTCTCAGCAGAAACCATGCAGGCACAAAAGCAATATGATGGCATATACAAAACTCTGAAAGAAAAAAGTTGCCAATCAATAATCATCTACCCACTCCCTTCCAAGACTAAGACTCAATGGGAATACACGCTGTGATTGGTGACCACGC